CGCCGAGCAGGGAGCCCGACGCGGGACTCGATCCAGGGACTCCAGGATCATGACCTGAGCCGAAGGCAGTCGCTCAACCAACTGAGCCACCCAGGCGCCCGATAATTTGCTTTTCTAATTAGCATTTCCCAAGAGATGCTGAGGCTACTGGTCCTAAGACCACACTCAGGAACCACGGGTCTGGTGGGAAGAGTTTGGAGTTATCAGAACCTAGAAGCTCCAAAGAGTGGCCTTAGAGCTGGGACTCAAATCTCTCAGGAGGGGGCCGGACCTGGCTGGAGGTGGTGTCTTGGGATCTCAGAGGAAAGATCCCACCGGGTCTGGGACTCTGGACTTGGACCTCTTAGGAGGGGGGACTGTCTGGCTGGTGCTGGTACCTCCAAGGAGGTAAGAGGAGGATGGTTCTGGAAGTGCCCAAACTAGCTGGAGGCTAGAGCCGATGGCCACTACCAAAGTGTGAGGAACTGCAACGAAGACGGAGGGGCCGGTCCCTTCTCCCTCCTCCAGCCATCCAGTCTCCCTATAATAGTACACCCTACTGGCAGGACCCAAAAGGAGTGGTGGCAAAGCCAAAATATGACTTGCTGAGTACCAGGCCCAGCATCAGAGAGCAGAGTATAAAATTTGGAGCTGAGAGACAATAGGTAAATGACCCTCACCCCCATGAAGCACACTCATTCAGCATACTAACAGTACTCAATTAAGTCCTCAGCTAGGTTGTGGAGCCAAGTTACGCAAATGTATGTTTTTAAGTGTTAGACTAATAGTCACCATGCAGAGATGCTCAGACAGTGAGACAACGAGCAACATCTTCCATGTCACTCCCATTCTTGGCACCTTCTGAGTGGAATGTGGAGGCCAAGTTCCCGAATTTACGTAAGTTCAATACATATATGATGCAACTCCATGGTACACATATATTCCATTAAATTAGATTATATTATACATAATACTGTATACCTTCCTTTTTCATATTAACAATACACTGTGCTGTGATCATCTTTCTCTTCCAGTGAATACATGTTTACTTGGGTTTTCTTTAAATGGCTGTATAACATTCCGTTAGATGAAAGTTCCCAAATCTTTTAATGCTACCTCTTTGGGGGGATATTTAGACAGTTTCTGTTATTTTGTTACTACAGTGTTCCAGAGCTGCTCTTGTCTTCACAATCCTTGCTCACTTGTCCAGTTATACCCTTAGGATGAATTCTGGAGATTATATATAGAGAGAGACATCCTTTCAAAGAAACTTGGTACATTCAATTCATTTTCCCAACGCTCTCATAAATTCTAAGCCAAAAAAAAGTATCAGTAATTAAAGTACTAATATTGATTATTGCTAGCACATTTGGTTAGGTAAAATTTATGATCTAGCAGAGTAGCACTTTTATAACGTAGATGGATATCACAGGAAGGATATATTATAGAGAATTTGTATAGTAGCATGTCCATTCAGTAGAACTTTAGGATAACATTTTACCATTATTATAATAGTTCATCTATATTCTTATGATGTATCATTGATTGTGGGTATATAGTCTTTGCCAAGTCTTTGGTTGGATTTACCATTCCCCATTACTGAAACGTTCCTAATGGAATAAAGCATCTGCTTTGTGAAAGCTTTCAGACTCTTTTTTCAAACACACTGTGACTAAAAGTCGACACTACTTGAATAGCAGATGGCTTTTCTGCTTTTTGTTCTGGCGCTTTTTCCTATAACTGTTACCAAAGAAGAGTATTCACAGCCCCACATCTCTGTCTTCAGAAGCATAATATTCAGTTTGGGAATTTATATAAGGTTTAATTTGGAAGGCTCCTCTCAGGTCATCTTATTTTCCAGTTTCAAAAGCCAGCTTCTGAAATTGAGATTAGGACTCGATTCCTATATACTCCCGTCCAGACTCCTCTCTGTTAAACCTCTTCCAGTTCTGTTCTGCTTGAGCGTGAGACCTGAACGAGGTTCCCAAGAGACTTGGCTCCCAATCTCCAGAAAACAACATGCCCCAAACTAATAGGAACACAGTGCTCTTTTCAAGCCTTTCCTCAAGGACTGGGTTATCCACATCCGATGAGTAATTACCTGCTTCCAGGTGGGAAGGAGACATTTAATTTTAGGATATTCAGGCCAGGAAGCAAAGTTGTGGCTTTTGTCAAACCCCCAGTTTGCTCAGAAGCAACTTGAAGCCCGATTCTGTAATCCCACGTGGGTGCAGGGATGAGACATCGCGGATGCTTTTGTTCTCATTTTAGACCCACGATCTCTGTCACAAGATGGGTCTCTTCTTGCAGGCTCGCCCCCGCCATTTAAACGTGCTGTGTGACGTGTCTGGGAAAGGGCCCCTCACTGCCTGTGGCTTCGACCTCCGCAGCCTGCAGCCTGATCAGCAGCTGGAGAACCTCCTGCAACAAGTGAGTGCCGAGGACTTCGAGAAGCAGAATGAAGAGGCCCGGAGGACCAATCGGCAGGCGGAGCTCTTTGCCCTGTACCCATCGGTGGACGAGGTGGGTGCAACCCTCTCCATGCTGGAGAATTTCAGGGAGGAAACAGAGTCTCCAGGAGAGTATTATCATTTGTCATGACCAAATAGCGCTGTCAGGATGCTTAATTGTATGATTTCTGGCCCGTTCTTTTCACTTATCCAACAGGATAGCAGAGTTGGTTATTGATCAGTCCTGCCAATGAGATTGTGGTACTAACAACCAGGATTTTCATTGCTCTCTACAAAACACTTTCACTGATTTTGTCTCATTTAATCCTCACAACATTTCAAGGGTCTGCATGCGGTGATCTCGCTCAGTGAGTCAAACCATTCAGTTATTTGGGGGTATGTTTTGCGGATAATCCATCAAGGTGTGCGTTACTTGAACTTTGATATCCTCAAGTGTTGAGATCTTTTTAAAAATAATCTCTATGAACAACCTGAAGAGACATGCTTTGAAAACATTCCAGTCTAAAATGACCATGGCTGTGCTCTTAGTGCATCAACTTCAGGATCCTGATTGTCCACTTCTTTATGTATTGGAGCTGACCGAGAACAGTTTGATCATTTAGGCTTTGCCTTGTGGTCACTCCCTGGGGTACTTTGGATGGATGGGATGAGAAATGACCATTATTCAAGCCTGTTTAGGCTCCTCATACTTAATGGGAGGCTCTCTGTCTTTCCTCTGTCTGTCAGAATGTCTTTGCTTCTGGTTCTTGCCCAAACTGGCTACAGCAATAAGCTCTGCTGTCCAAATTTTATTGAAAGTTCAGTTGCAAGATATACGATCTAGGGAGCATTTTTGCTTAAAAGATAAGCCATCCATCCATGCCTCTACATGTTTGAAATTTAACGTTCAGATCAAGCAGGAAGACCATCAGGGAGCAGGCTTCTTAAACCTCATGAATCCCACACCCCTGGGCATTGTATCTGCTGACTTGCCCTGGGATGAGCTTACCACTGGGCAGCAGAAAGCATAGTAAGGGAGGCAGCAGTCAAGAGATGTGATATCATGTCCACTGTGCAAATATTATTGAGGACACAGACCTATTCCTCACCCAGCATCTGCCTCAATGAGGATCCAGAGGGGAATTATCTGTCAAGCCTTCGGACAGAGAAGAAGTTGCATCCACTGGGGAAATAGGAACACTTAGGAGACTATGAGCATCTTGTAATCTGCTCTCCTAAAATCTTTACTTAGGGTCAAATTTCTGTTTGCTGCTACTAAATCACTTTCTTTCTTTCTTTCTTTCTTTCTTTCTTTCTTTCTTTCTTTCTTTCTTTCTTTCTTTCTTTCTTTCTTTCTTTCCTTTCTTCCTTCCTTCCTTCCTTCCTTCCTTTCTCCTTATATTCCAGCCCCCTTGATTTTCTCACCTATTTATTTCATTTGCAGTGGCCTCAAATCCTTTTCTGAATGAGGCAGGTTAAAAATAAATATGAATAATGTGGGCAGTGTCATCACCTCCATTCTTCAGATTGCAGAGTAAGAGTCAGGGAGGTTAAGGAACTTGTTCAAGATTCAGCAGGCAAATTAAAGTACAGAATGGGGATCCTAGCCTCTTAACCCCAAACTTTATGTTTGCCTGTTTATGTATCTACATAGGACTTCCTGGTATATTAGAGCACATAACTGAAATCCAAAGATGATATGAGCAACCACATTATATATCATAACTTTTCAGTTTCCATATAAAACTAAATTTTTTTTTTTACCAGCTTTGTCAAGAAATATTAATCTGACAGATTTGACTTCCACTTACATTCCTTTTCCTCCCAGTTCCATGGTGGAGGCGCCCATAAGTAAGAAAGTGTCCCCAAGTGGATGGCAGGAGAGAGAAAACAATTAAAGGGTGAGGAGGACATGTCCGGTGAGACATCAACTCGTTGAAGTCCCCCTCGGGATTAAGTGGGAGGGTGTCCAGTCTTGCATTGATTGCAAGAAGAATCAGAGACTCTGGAAGGAACTTTGTTTTATGGTCTCCGAAACAATGCAGAAACTCGATTAGGACTGAAGGTTATAATCTAGCAAAGGTCCTAATAGGCCTGCTTTATTGAGTGGAGAGGAATGCTTTGTAATTATTGTACCAGTTATTTGCAAATTGGTATGTCTAAAATGCTGGAGGGCCCCTATACCAGCCTTTAATATTCTGAAGCTCATCCACACAGAAATTGCAATTGTCCTTGTAATTTGCACTTTCTCCAAAGATAGTCCTGTGGAAGAACAGTAAATTTCTGGCTACCTTGAGGTGATCACCCCTGCTGATTTTTTGGGGGGAACACATTAATGAAACTATTTAATATTACCACGACTTTATTTCCTGGTGAGGAGAATGAGAAGAGAGGTGAACTATTATATCCAAATTATGACTAAGCCTACAGAAGAGGTAAAATAGAACATAACCACCAAGCCTCTATGTGGTGAGTACTTTCCCCGACTCACTCTCGGTTCTGTGAAAGGCATCCTATGTGTTGGTCCCTAAAAAGATGCCACTATCCTTTAGATCACAGAAGAGTTTACATTCAGACTCCCTAGGCTGCAAGTGACAGAACCCAAGTAAAAATCAATTAAGAAAAAAAAAAAGTGGGGGGGTGAGATTTATCTGTTCACATAATGCCGTCACAGGCAAGCAGATAGAGTTGGCCTCAGGATCCCACTGGATCAACTGATAGAAGAACATCTTTCCTACTGTCTTTGTCTTTCTCTCTCACTATCTCTCTCCCTCCCTTTCTGCCTCTGTTGCTCTCTAAATATATATATACACTCAGGAAGATAAAACAGACATCCACTTAAAACTTCATATTTGTTCTCTAGGAACTAGTTCCAATTTCAGATAATTATAAAGGCTCAAGAAAAGCATATAGGTTAGAAGGGACTTAGGAAATGCATCAATATGTAAACCTTGTTTGGATCATGATTTAACAAGCTAACTGCAAAAAAAATGGAGACAGTTGGGGAAATTTGGAACTGATTAAATATTTAGTGACAATAAGAAGTTGTCTTATTGTCTTATTAAAAAGACTTATTAAAAAGTTTAATCATCATGATATTACAGCTGTGCACTTTTAAAAGTCTATCTTTTAGAGATTTACAGATGAGGTTATAGGATGTCTGGGGCTTTGCTGTGCCAAGCAATCCACTATTGAGTGGGGAGAGGTAGTAAGTGGGAATATAGGTGAAACCAGGTTGCCCACGAGTTGAACGCATTGAAACTACGTGATGGGTAAAGGTAGTTCATTACATTTTTCTCTCTACTTTTGTGTATGTTTACATTTTCCCAATGAAAAGCTTTTAACAAAGGATCCCCAAGGTTCGAATCCAGACCAGAGAGATAGTGTTAGAAACCCATGAATGTATGTTGACTTTCTTCTCCAATGGCGGGGGGCTTCCGTTTTTGATGTGTCTACTCTGATCACCCTGCAAGTGATTTGAGCTTGCTCTGAGGGAGCTGAGTTCAGTGTGGGCATCAAGCAGTGCCTCCTCTGAAAAAAGCTCAGCCCTTCCACCGGACAGGATGGCCAGCTGACCAACACAGGATTGGGCCTTGGACAATAGAGGTTAGAGTAGAGGCGGGTTTACCACTTTGTTTCACCAATCCAGTGCAGAGTTACTGGGAAGGTGGATTCTACTGTTATTTCTAAAAATGTTACTGTTGCTATGGGGTATTTGGGGGTGGGGGGGAAGCTCCCATCATTTACAGCCCAGGAAAATATAATTAGACCCGACTCTATTCTTTGGACCCTTGTGAGCTGCAGACCACCAGAGTTCAGATAGTCCACAAGAGCAAGAATTAAAGTTGTCAGGGCTTTGCACTGTTATTTTTGCATACATGAATATAATTAAGATCCTTTGATAGTTCAGATTTGAATGTTAAAAGTTACCTTAGGGACTTGATGTTTCTCTTTAAGTCTTGAGTCCCGGTGGGGTAAAATAGAGTCCCAGATGCGGTTAAAACAAAAAAAAAGTTGTATTTGTCATTACTAAGTCGTTACTAATGTGTCATTACTACGTTTCCTGTACTTAGAACTTCAGCAAGCTCTAGCTGGATATGTATGTATACATTCAACCTCAAACCTGTTTAAGAAAACGGTCAACTGAGAAAGACACTCTATTATAAGTATTGATGGTTTACATACAGCCTGCTGTGAGCTATTTTGACTCAGGCTTCAAGTCTGAAACTCACTATTTAATAGTAAAACCTTGGCAGGAGAAATATTCTGAATGTGTACCCAATTGGAGCAGTCAAAAAAAAAAAAAGAAAGAAAATGAAAAAAGAGAAGCCAACAATACCAACAATAGGTATAAGATTTTGCAATGCCATCTGGTGGATGTTACTCAGTCATATTCATGTTCCCATTTCCTTCCTTCCTCCCTCTGTCTCTTTGTCTTAAATGCCTCGCTTTCCGAAAGTAGAATTTGTTTGTGGTTAAGGTTGACTTTGAAGCTTGGGATTGAATAACAAACTCTCTTATAAAAGTCAAAGTGTTATCCCTCTATTAGAACTAAGGCAAATGCAGGTTGAGCTCTGGGTGGCAGCCCTGCCTTCCCTGGACTCATTCCAGCCAGAACCCCTCATGGAAATTCACTCATGATTTCTTTATCATGTGATTAATAATAGGAGGATGCCGTGGAAATACGTCCGGTACCAGAATGTCCTAAGGAACATCTGGGCAACAGAATACTGGTCAAGGTGCTGACCCTGAAGTAAGTCTCAGCAAACATACTAACCATTGCATAGAGATTTATCTTGCCTTTTACATATAAACTGCATCTCTATGGACAGAGCTTGAATGGGGAGGGTCTTCCAGCGCTGTTGTAACAGTGTGTGGTTGTGACGTGGCGGGAGGAGCCGAGTTTGGAGTCAGCTAGACCCAGATTCTATTTCTCCCAAGCCTTGCACAGTCCCTCCTCTGTCACAGGGAAGGCACACCGTGAAGTTAGTCACGTAAGGTAACTGAGTGAAACAGCGTAGTTACAAAAGGAACAGGGAAAGCTATGCAGGGAAAAAAACTGAAAAGCAGTGAATGGTGTACTCACGTCCACGCTGACTAATTCATGAGAGCTGATGGTGCCTTTCTCTTCCCATCTCTGCGTCCAGTGATGTCACATCCGTCCATAGCTTGAAATTGGCCATGGTGGGATATTTACAACATAGAAATCAGAAAATGCTACATATTAGAGCTTTTGTGGGTTTTTTTTCCCCCAGAAACTGTTAACTATTGAAACACAACCTTAAATATGACTAAAACCCAGTCTCAGTGCCAGGGGGCCACAGAGGACCAGAGAGCAGTGTGACTTTAGCAAACTATTTTAAGGGGGTACCCACTGCTGGTGAGGGCCAGTTCTTGCCATCCAAGGACACAAGCCCATTTTGGCCAACTGTCTGTTTTGTTTTTGTTTTTGCTTTTTCAAGAGAAGCTGGAAATTCAGAGTTTTCTGCATGATTTCACTTCTTTTTTTTTTTTTAAGATTTTATTTATTTATTTGAGAGAGAGAGTGAGAGAGAGAGAGAGCACAAGAAGGGGGAGCGGGAGAGGGAGAAGCAGACTCTCTGCTGAGCAGGGAGCCCAATGTGGGACTCGATCCCGGGACTCCAGGATCATGACCTGAGCCGAAGGCAGTCGCTTAACCTAGGCGCCCCGATTTCCTGACTTCTTAAATACCTTCTCATTTCCTTTCCATTCTACAACTGAATGCCAGCTGGATTCATCTGGTGGGCCAGCTGTTTGCCACATCTACTTTACAGCAATTATCTCCAAATTTTTTTTTGGACTGTTTACTTTTAGAGTAGGAAAAAGTCCTATGTCCTCTGTATACATGTATTAATTTTATACATGCAGATCAAAATATTATCTACATTATCAAATATACAGAAATGAGAAATTGAAATGTATGAACTAAATAAATCGGAATAAATTACCGTAGCTTCTTCCAGCACACGAACAGATTGTATTGCATATCCAGTTGGGAATGTTTGCATGCCTCTCTTGCAGACTGCTACTTTCGAGAATTCTTCCAACTTCAAATCACAGACTCTTGAAAATATTCAGTTGTAAATGCCCTGTCTAGGCAACAGTACATAAGCATAATATTTTTTAATACTCCCATTAGGAGGGTCATCCATCTCTTGAAGTCAATTCATGGGCCCCTCAAGCAGCACCTAGTTTGCAATCAGGGCATCTGGACTCTGAATTCAAGGCTGTATCTCAACCCTGGGATCTTCTCTGGGAGTTTGAGTTCTTACCGATAAATGACTGACATTGTTACACCAGACGGTCTCAAAGTTCCTACTTGCCCTAAACTTCTGTGATTCTAATACATAGCTTCCCCAGACCTCTCCTGAGAACACAAGGAGGCAGAGCTGCTCACCCGGTTGTGGGGGCTCTCTTGATGTGGTAGCCCCTCCCCCTAGCCAGCTCTACCAACAGGGGGAGGGGAGTGAGGGCCTTTTGTGCAGGGAGATGAGCAGCTCATACACCAGCTCTGTGTCAAGTCTGGGCTACAGAAGGCAGCCTCTAACCCTTGCAAGCCAACCTGGAAGTGGGAGCCTGCTGGCCCTTGAGCAGGGGGACTGAGTGGAAGTGGCCGCTAGTCTCCTCTGCGTTGCTCAGGAAATCACCCTATTGTCTGAGGCACTCAATCACCCCCACAGGATGCACATCAGGCCCCTCGTAGGTGCAATAACTATGCTATTCAGGATTGGAGGAATTCTCCCTTATGATGTCACTTTGCCACCAAGTATTCTAGATCTTTCCAATAAGTAAACAACAGCAGTTCTCACAGGTGGGAAAACATGGCCACTAAGAGAGACATGTATTATTTAAAAAAACAAGTAGAGCCATTTGGATTTCTCTTAACGAAAATTGTCAGTTTTCTGGCGATGTTTTTCCCCGTTGCCAAAGCAGGAATCAGGTAGAATTGAGGTGTTTGCCCAGTGCACTTGGCCCACTCAGGTGTCTTAAATAGTATCCATCTCTACATTCACCTGCAAGAGGAGCAATGGACCAAAGAGGTTGTCCCAGCTATAACTCCTCTAAATAAACCAGATTTTTAAAAAAAGCAAGTTCTTGTAGGTAAACCTACAATGTCAAAAATATGAATAGTAAAAATGTAATGGTAATGTTAAAGACCCCATTTCCCCATTGACACGGACATGCAGAATTTTTATTTCTACCACTATCGATTTTATCAGCTTGGGAATTTTTCAGAATCTGTTGCGATCTCTGTCACTGTTTTGCTTTTGAGAGACATGTAAAACCTCAAGCATGTAGAAAGAATCAGGCTGGTGTCGATTCTGCAAATGTTTGTAGCACCTAGGAAAAAGAGAGGATGGCAACAAAGTATTTTTCTCTTTTGCATTTAATGTGGGGAAATCTTTTAATGTAAGATTTAACCCTATCTTATGTAAAGTAACCTTAGCTCAGAGGAGTCTCCTTGCTGGTGAAACTGGTGTGCATCATCACGTTTACTCAGAGAGATTGATTGATTGATTTAAAATTTATTTATTTGAGAGAGAGAATGAGCGGGGGGCGGGGCAGAGGGAGAGGGAGAGAGAGAGAGAGAGAAGCAGACTTCGCGCTGAGCAGGAAGCCCGACTCAGGGCTCTATCCCAGGATCCGGAAATCATGACCTGAGCCAAAGGCAAAAGCTGCCCAGGGAGTTTGTTTTAAATGCAGATTTTGGGAGACCTTGCACCATCATTTCCTCCAAGAGATTCTGGTTCACCAGATCTCAGGGGGGACAAAGAAACCTACATTTTGATAAACTCCTCATTTGCCTCACAATGCTAGTTTCTGGGGTCTGCCCTTGGAGATACACCTGTAGGAGAAAAACCTCAGGTTCTGTGATCAGAAAAGGCTGGGCTCTTTTTAGGGCCCCCTGGGTGGTGCAGTTGACTGAGCATCGACTGTTGGTTTTGGCTCAGGTCATGATCTCAGAGTTGTGAGATCGAGCCCTGTATTGGGCTCTAGGCTCAGCGTGGAGTCTGCTTGAGTTTCTCTCTCCCTCTCCCTCTCTCACTCGTTTTCTCTCTCTCTCAAATAAATAAATCTTTACAAAAAAAGATCCTCTTTTTAGGCAAAGTTACCCAGCGATAAGGCCATTCTCTGACGCATGGCTTGAAACAAAAATTGGCCTAATTTATGTGACTTCTGAGGTAATGGTGGTCCAGGGCCTGGTTACTGGTACACTCAGCTAGCAGGATCCCAAATCATGGGTTGTTAGCCTGAGAAACTTGGAACGTGCACATCTGTGCTTCATGTGTATCCTATAACATGTGGAAGGAATCCTTGGGTATGCAGTCTCATCAAAGCCACCATTTTAAGGGGAATGGGCAATTAGGGCTGATATGTTTCTAGTTCTCACTGGGTCCCCACAGCTCAGTGTTTATTGGCAGCGCTCCGCTCCTTCCCCAGCAACTCAGCAGCTCCCTTGGTAGTGGAATAGGAAAGGTCAGACATTCTCCCACATAAATGGCCCCACTATAAATCTAAGCAAAAGCAACGGAACTTTTATTATTATTATTTTTACTCTCTGAAATGCCTTGTCCCTTAGAATTGAATAATAGAGATTCCTACCCTAGTAGTGAACAAAACCTTTACCTAAGACAGAGGCTTTACCATTAGAAAACACAGCATCTACAGTGGTAAGTAGGGCCATGTTGGATCACACCATGGGCACCATTCTGCCGTCTCTCCCTTGAGTTGCCACCAACAAGTGCTTTTTAGGAGAATGTGCCATCCACCACGATCTCCATTGACTAGGAATTTTCCACGAACCTCCCATCTTTCTCCACTAATATCCCATTATGATTCTCATCTGTGTGGAGTTATCCAAATATTTTGGGGAATGATGTACATTTTTAACCGGTTTATAGAGCTCAGCACTTTCAGGAAATTCAAAATTATCTAAGTTAAAACCCTATTTTTTCTTACTCTCTCTGAAAGGTTTGAGATTGAAATTGAGCCTCTGTTTGCCAGCATTGCCCTCTACGATGTTAAAGAAAGGAAAAAGGTAAGGAGGCGAAGAACACCCCATCCATGGGGGCACACATTGCTCATGATTTTGGGGGTTCGTGGTTTTCAAATCCACTTCTCTGCAGCAAAAACACATCAGATTTGAAAGCAAGTGACCTTTGACACAGCTGGTTCTATTGCCTTTGCAGTGTTTGCAGGAATGATCTGGCAATGTTAGTCATTTATGTTCTTTGAAGAATCTTAAAGGGAGAGCCTGTTTAGGATCGAGAGGGAAAAGAAATAGCAACATATGGGGTGGCACATCAAACAAGGCAATTTAAATACATTTTTAACAAGCTCGGATATATATGTAATGTTACCTCCGTTGGGGAGGTTTTGCAGTGTGAGAGAGTCTCATCGTGGATGGAAGGCATCTTGTGCAGGAAAAGTATTAATTTGCCATCAGGCGAAGAGCTCACCAACTGTGATGCGCTTTTTTTTTTAAAGATTTTATTTATTTATTTGACAGAGAGAGACACAGAGAGAGAGGGAACACAAGCAGGGGGAGTGGGAGAGGGAGAAGCAGGCTCCCGGCAGAGCAGAGAGCCCGATGCGGGGCTCGATCCCAGGACCCTGGGATCATGACCTGAGCCGAAGGCAGACGCTTAACGACTGAGCCACCCAGGCGCCCCCTGTGATGCGCTTTTAATGAAAAAGATTTTGAGTACCTAACCCTCTTCTCCAGGAGTGTTTTAATGTTTCGTCACTTTGAACCTCAGAGGAGGACAAAAACAGCACAGCCACAAAGGATACTCTTGCCCCTTTGACCCGTAATCACTCCGTATTTAACGAAGTGTGTATCTCTTGGATAAATATTCACAACCCCTGAGACTTACGTCAGCTAGGGTAGGTTTACTGCTAAAACTGCTAACTCCTAAATTCCAAAGTGTAAGGCAGTAATTCAGGAAATACGGATGGGTTAATAAAAATGTAAATGTTTCGAGGAACATCTCTCAAACAGCTCCAAAATATCTAGAAATTGTGACAAAATGCATATCAGATTTTTCCACCACCACTAGTCATAAACCATGTCTATGATGACCCTTATTTCTTTGGCAACATTTTTTGTGGGTTTTTGACTCTTTAAACATGGGTAGACCAGGAGAACAGCAGGTGTGACTTCTTTTTTGCCTTGTTCCTTGTTTACAGATCTCAGAAAATTTTCACTGTGACCTGAACTCTGACCAGTTCAAAGGCTTTCTGCGTGCTCACACGCCCTCCGTGGCTCCATCAAGTCAGGCAAGATCCGCAGTCTTCTCGGTCACCTACCCATCCTCGGACATCTACCTAGTAGTCAAGGTCATTAAACACAATTTGGTTTGCACATTCTGCATTCGGATGCGCTCCTTGTTGCATTATTCCCAGAGCATGTTTGGGGTGAAAGAGGGGTCAGAATGTATCCACATTTTCTCTCTGAGATTTGCTTTGTTTCCTTTTCAACTGGCCCCTTTTCCTTTCCAAGCAAATCCTGTGTGGGACAGTAGCACAACTCTGGGTTTGGGAGTCATACAGTCTTGGTTTTGAATCCTGGCTTTGAAACTTCGTAGCTATAGGACTTTGGGTGATTACCTAAACTTTCGGAGACTTAGTTTCCTTACGTGTAAAGTGGGGATTATAATACTGCCCTCAGTGGGCAGTTGTGATTGCAGAAGAAAGCCTGGCCCATTACTTTATTCCTGACCAAGCTTTATTCCTGACCAAGCTGTTCTTCCTACCCTTAGCTGTCCAGCTCTGAGAGCTGCTGTGGAGGAAATCTTGGCTAGAGTTCCCTGATGCTGTTCGTCTTCTTCTAGACACCTGTAGAGAAATGTTCCCAAGTCCAGGCTCTGACAATTTAAGGTGTGGGCTGTGGTTTCCAAATTTCACTCTCCCTTTATATCACCATGTCACAGACTATGACTATGTGTGGTGCAACTCAAAATCTGTGGGACAGTTCCAAGGAGAAGGACTTTGCATTCTCAGCTGTACTCTTTGCTGATAGAAGCAACCCAGAGGCTTTCTCTGCACACCAGAATGACTGGTTAGAGGTTAACAGCAAACGTTGAGTATTTCACTTAACTTAAGCCAAATATTTAGTCTTATTGACTGTTTACCCCAAAATTGTAAAAAAAAAAAAAAAAAAAATTCAGGTGTTTTGATTTCATGTCTACGCAGAGTTCCAGGTTTGGAACATTTTCTAGTGAGCGCAGTGTTTTACTTCAGAATCCCATTGATTCCCCCATGATCCCGAGAGAGCAGCTTATAGATTCCCAAGAATTTAAATGACTTAGAGGTCAGTTGACAAGTGGCAGATGTCTTTGCCTTCTAGCTGCCTTTCCACCATTTTACAAAGATTCTGAAAAGTTACTGTTACTCAAGGAGAATCTATGTAACATTGTAGGAGGGATTAAAGTTAAAATTGTGTTGCTACAAAGACACATCTGTTGTTGTCACACTGAACATGTATCCTTTTCACTGCAGTATCCCTTAGACATATAGGAAGGTTAGAGTCAAGCCCACCCTACAGCTAGTTAGATTCAAAGTTCCCTCAGTCTGGGAACCCAAAGATGCCAACACTAGTCCCATCCAGCCAAGTTTTACTTAAGCTCTACTTCTTAGGGGATGACTTTGTTTTAGTTAATCCACCATACTCTGCTAAGTATCAGCGGTTACCTACAGGTTACTGTTACTCACTAAATATATTACAAAATTCTCAAATGTACAGATGCATTCATTTGGCAATAACAAGTCTTCTATCAGTTGTCTGTATAGAGTGAAGACATTTAAAGCTCAATAAGACAGTCCCTGGTTTGCTTCTGACTTCTTTTCCTTTACTGTAATGGTGTCATTGTTGCTTCTCTCTACAGATACAGTAAATGGTGTGTCACATTTAGCACAACCAGGCAGATGCCATTCAGTAAAGAGGAGTTCTTTCTTATTCTTCTTCCCAGGCTGAACACCGGGATCTTAACTGTATTTTAGGTAGAGTTTCCTAGTTTAGTATTGTATATACTGTTGCTTTAAGGGATTATCCAGCCTTAAAGGTTTTGTTCCTCAGTTGAGGGATGGAGAATAAGGATGAAATTTAAAACTTCAAAAATAAACATGTGGAGGCACTGAACCAGCCCCTCCTGAATAGGACAGAGGGCAGCCTTTTATCTGACAAAAATCCCCTGGTAATCCCCACACATCCCTTTCCTCTGCCCACCACGCTTCTGAGGACCCCTGGGTTTCTTTCACACATAAACACGAGGGGACATACAGTGAGCCCTCACAGCAGCCTGCAGCCCTTCTCGTGAAGTACCTGGAGTTACTCTTGCCCAACTGGGGAAGGGAGTAGTCTCTGCTGGTCTGGTCAGATCGGGAGTCTTCCACTTTCAGACTCTGGAGACCCCTGTCCTATGGGTTCCATGCTGCACAGTACTTGTGCTTGAAGCCATGGCATGGTCACATTGCTGCTTCAGGATCTCCATTAAAAGGTCCTTTATCTCTGCTCAAAGTTCATTTTAAAGACCATATCTTTATCCGTTGACTACATGGAAAAACTAACTTCTTCCAATTTGCTCTACGAGCTCCTGACTATGAGCTTCACTAGAATAGGAATCAGGTCTGTCTTGTTCACCCCCTTACCTGCCCAGCAGCTACCACCTAGAAAAAAAATAAAAATAAACACTCTGTCCCTATCTGGTAGTGCCTGTGGACCATGTGCACCTAATGGAATATGTTAAACCCAGATTTCATGTTGCAGGAATGCCGCATCTGGTGTCTAATCTCAACAAAGGCTAATGGGACTACCTCCACTTGTTTTTCTCTTCAACATTTTCTTGGAGCAGAGGGTTGGGGAATTTCAAATCTCTATTTTTTTTCCCCCATCAACAGGGTGACCACATTTCTGGCCAGCCAGATCCTTTACCCGAAGCAAACTGGAAGAAGATACTCGACAGGAGTAGCATTAAATCATATTTCCAGCCAGTTAGTTAGCCAAGTGAAAAGCTGCCCCATTCCACACCTTTCGGTTTCTCTCCATGTCTGTTAAATCCAGAGAAGCGGCCCTAATAGGAAATACAAGGGAGACAATTACAGATAATTTATTCTGTTCATTTATTCATTTTGTGGAAGGTTTTAGTCCCCAACCTGACTTTTACGGAGGCCATATTTCTTTTTTACATTGTAAGCAATAATAAAGAAAATGAGCTTTTCACTTCTTACATGTGTCTCATGGGTTCTGTTTTATAAAATAACTTTTATTGCATTTTTTTATTGTAGGCATAATACATGTTTATGGTTTAAAAATAGAAAATACACATAGCAATAGGAAGAAGATAAAAATAGCACATAATCTCACTATACAAAGATAACTACTATTAACAGTTTGTGTATCTACTATCATCCTTTGAATCTGCCTTTGTGACTTCTTTTTTACAAAACTGTGGTACTCTTCATGCTAATTTTTTTCACACTAATTTTTTTAATCAGAAAATATACAGCATGAGCATCTTCCCTTGTCCTCAAATACTGTGACAAAACCTCATTTTGATGGTTGCATCGATGCCATTATGTGGATATAATTCATGAGTTTTGTTTTAATATTATTTTTGTTGGTAGATTGAAAAAGTCCTTCAGCAGGGAGAGATTGGAGACTGTGCAGACCCATACATGGTTATCAAAGAAGGTGATGGTGGAAAGGTATGATACTTTGGCTATTACTAAATGGTGACATCTTAGAATAAACAGGTAGTTTTCAGAAGTTCCACAAAGTAGTTAAGTAAAGAATAGGTCCATAATATGTCCCCATATGAGACATTGATACATTGTGTCTTAAAAAAGAAGAAAGGAGAGCTGGTCATTGATGATAACTTTTTAAAGAAATAAATTCTTGAATTCAACAAACGACATATGCCCCAGTGTCTAAAAAAAACTTGGCTAGGACAAAAGCCACATCCTGTTGTCTTGGTTCCAAGGCCCTGACCCAGGTTGGGAAGGCCACAGAGACCTCACGAAACTCTGCTGGGCTTTCTCAACAGTACCAGCCAATTTCCAAATGTCTTTTCTGGTGTGGATATTTGGAAATAGGCTGAGACTTCTGTACATCATAAATTCCCTGACACAGCATAGGTGCTGAGCCTGTGAAAGGGACATCTTTTCTCAGCCCCCATTTGCAAAGGTTTCCAATGTGACTTTTAAAACATGGCCTTTCTGGACGAAGACTTGGCTATCAGCATCCTCCTCCAGACTCATAAATTTCAAATAAGATTTCTTGAACTCAAGACACTTATTTTTTAAAAACCTACCTTCTCTTCTGAACTTAGAAAGAACACCCTGGGGCGCCTGGGTAGCTCAGTTGGTTAAGCAACTGCCTTCGGCTCAGGTCATGATCCTGGAGTCCCGGGATCGAGTCCTGCATCGGGCTCCCTGCTCGGCAGGGAGCCTGCTTCTGCCTCTGACCCTCCCCCATCTCATGTGCTCTCTCGCTCTCATTCTCTCTGTCTCAAATAAATAAATAAAATCTTTAAAAAAAAAAAAAAAAAAAGAACACCCTGGAAGTGTTGTCAGCCTAATAAGAAGTGGTTAACAACCTTTAGAGATTTTTCTAGAGTTTCCCAAGGCAACTTTTGAAAAATAGGCTCTCTTGAAAGCGCGATAGATAATATATAAAATGTTTCATTCTAAAATTTTGTCGTGCAAATCCAAGGCTTGTAGCTAGCCCCTAAAAGCACTTGTTGATTAACTGGTATAACAAGTCTTGGAGTTTTTTTTTTTTGTTTTTTTTTAGCTGAAGGTATATTTAATAATTGAATGTTGACTTTCTTTAAACTCTTCCATTTCTGATCTGTATTCTCTTGTCAGCTAGAATTCTGGCCTGACTTGTATCATTTTCCTGCCCATTCACTCTTTTTAATTAGTAGGGTAGGGATTTTGGAGATGGCTGTCATATCCGTGGCAGAGACCATTGACCTGGTGCTGGCACCATATTGTTTGTTTCTGCTTGTGTCTTTCCACTTTCCTCTAGAGTAAAGAAAAGATTGAAAAACTAAAACTTCAAGCTGAATCCTTCTGCCAGCGTTTGGGAAAATACCGGATGCCTTTTGCCTGGGCCCCCATAAGCTTAACAAGTTTCTTCAATGTCTCCACCCTGGACAGGGAGGTAACCGATGTGGAGTCCATGGTTGGTAAGATTTTCAACTGCAGTGGGAAGGGGAGGGGTCCCCAGTGAACTAACTCTGAGGTCAGCTGCTTATTAATGGGGGCCCAGGGTACAGTAATGAGTGGAGAGTGGGAACGAAGAAGAAGATAAATAGGATGAAACACTATTATGGCTGACTTACAAATGCTTGATTTGGATGGTGATCCCCAAAACAATTATCATGAACATTTGTGGAACTTAAATATATTCTTACAGTAAGACTTTTGGTTGGAATTTTCTGGACATTTCAACACTTTAAAAAGTTAATTTTCAGTAGCTGCCTCCTTTTCAAAGTAAAAATTTTGAAATAACAAAGTACAATAACTATCTATAGTGGGCTAAACAATGCCACCATGCTTGGCTCTTAAACATAAGAAAAGCTACTCTCAGGAAGGCTTCAAAAAGCAAAACTCTGGCTTCTCAGCAAAATTTCCAGTCCCTTCAAAAAAAATTTTTTTTTTTTGCCAAGTGCAGTGAAAAAGTAGATGCCAAAAGAGTATTTAGTTTCTGTTCCAATTTATTGAGCATATTTCTCCTTTTCATCACCTCACCCTGGATCTGAGTCATTAATTTCCTGAACAGTGTGGGTATGGAAGTGTTCAGGAGGGTTCAGAGTTCTCGAGTTGACCCACCCCACCCATGGTAGAATGTCTGTTGTCCTGAGTGTCTTTGTATCCAGCAAATATGTGAGACTGTTCACATTTCTCCGCATTCCCACGCCCTGCCTTTTCCCAAATGCTGCCTTTAACGGGGGGACTGGAGGGAGAGGTATTTGTCATTGCTGTTTCTCTTCTGGAATTATTGTTTTGTAATTACCAGTCAGAACTGCTGGGTTATTTCTGATTTACCCACAACAAACCTCACTTGAGTGCATCCTGACCTTCACACCACAATGGGTAGGGTTTTTTTTTTTTTTCCATGCCAACTTCTATGTAGACCCAGGTAGCCTTATTTGAAAAGAATTATGCACAGATTTTAGAGGGCTCCATAAACTAGGTAACTCAGCCATAAGGTAATCTCCAGGTCAAGGATAAATTAACCTGACTATAGAAGCTGCTTCTTAAGAAGCAACCAGAAAATGCAGTGTATAATACTGGGGCAGTATGGTAAGTTTAGGCGGACAGTGGTAGCAAGAAATTCCCATTCAGGCGCACCTGGGTGGCTCAGTCAGTTAAGTGTCTGCCTTCGGCTCAGGTCATGTTCCCAGGGTCCTGGGATCGAGTCCCGCATTGGGCTCCTTGCTCAGCAATGAGTCTGTTTCTCCCTCTCCCTCTGCCCCTCCACCTGCTTGCTTTTTCTCTCTCTCTCTCAAATAAATAAATAAAATCTTTTTTTAAAAAAAGTTCCCATTCGGCATCACAGCAAGAATTAAGCATAAGAGAATATTCAAAGAGTGGGCTTGGCAACATTAGAGTTCTAAGCAATTTGACCGTTCACAGTGGAACCCCTTAATTTTGCAGTATAAAAGCAGCAAGGTCCCCACCTCAGTCCTAAAAGGGGATAACAAATAATTAAGCTGAGTATCGGGGTCCCAGCCCAGGTGTGGGTGTGACTCAGGGTTCTAATCCCTATTGGACAGGTCAGCCAAAGAACCCCGTTCTGCTGCCTGGTGCCCACAGGGAGAGCAGAAGAACGCTCAGATTCAGAACATACATAGGCTAACCCTGGCATGTTTGGGCCACAGTCCCAAATGCCTTCAGGGGCATTCGACTACATGCCTCTCCCAGTGGAGTGCAAATGTAAAAATAAAACAAAAGCAAACAGTGTTGGCTAAATAAAGCTTATGCAGACCCAGTTCTGGCTGCAGTCCTGGACCCTGCTGGGTGGCCGTCCCTGATGTCCATGTGGGAGGGGACTGTGGCTGTTCATGGCTTCTCCACTCTGGTCATAGGAGGACTAGGGGCTCCAACAGGGGGACTGAGAAAGGTAAGGCCAGTGGAAGGAAATTTTCATCCAAAACAAGGCTGGCCACGTTCAATATTCTTGTTTCATGACTTTAAACTTCTTTTTTAAAGAAACGAAGATAACATTGTGTGTCAACTACGCTTCAATAATACATTTTTTAAAATCTGTCTTTTGGGGTGCCTGGGTGGCTCAGTTGTTAAGTGTCTGCCTTCAGCTCAGGTCGTGATCCCAGGGGTCCTGGGATCGAGCCCCGTGTTGGGCTCCCTGCTCAGCGGGGAGCCTGCTTCTCCCTCTCCCACTCTCTGTGCTTGTGTTCCTTCTCTCCCTTTGTCTCTCTCTGTCAAATAAATAAATAAAATCTTAAAAAAAAAATAAAACCTGTCTTTTATATGATAAAGTTCATGACTGCTGGGTATTCACACAGAAAGGCATGCTTTCGAATGACAACTGTTTTCCTTACAGGGAGAAGCTCTCTGGGTGAGCGGAGAACTCTGTCCCAATCTAGAAGGCTTTCTGAAAGAGCCCTCTCCTTGGAGGAAAATGGGGTCGGATCCAACTACAAGACCACCACCATGACTGTTAACAGCTTTTTCAAGCAGGTATCTCTTCCCATTCCAGTGTGTCTGAATTTCTTCCCTGAGTGGCATGGGTATTGGAGCCCAAAGGAGAAGTACATGTCATGATTAAGGGAGCAAGTTAGTTAACCTCATCAATCCTCAATGTCATTATCTGCAAAACAGGAATGACGGTGCTTGCTTCATGGGGCAGTTGGGAGTGTTAGATGGCCTGAGGTGTGTAAAGCTCTTCTCACAGTGCCTGGGATATAGCAAGGGCTAAATGAGTGTTGGCTCATTTCATTGACAGAAGGATTTGTTCCCACTAATGCAAACTCTTCTCTTTTAACGATCATGGTCAGTTCATTTATTAGGCTATTAAAACCATCTGGCTGAAACATCCCTTTCCCCGTGGTCTTGGGGTTTCCCAGCCCAGCTGTTGTCCTTCTCACCCCTGTTCTATCTGTAGGCTTGCCACGTTTCTGCCATATTTACTTGCTCATAGAGGGTGACCATTGCAGATCGTTCTCTTTATTAGTTCAATAGACATCGAGGTTATTTAAAAATCAGAGAACTTCTAGAGTAAAGAACTTCATAGAGACAGAAAGTAGACTGACGGGTACCAGAGGCTGGAGGAAGATGGGAATGGGGAGTTGTTGTTTAAGGAGTTTCAGTTTCAGAAGATGAAAGAGTTCCGGAGATTGGTTGCACAACACCATGAATGTACTTAATCCTAATAACTGTACACTCAAAAATGGTTATGATGGTGCTGTTCATATCATGTATATTTTGCTACAAACAAACTAATTTGATATGACTTGGTTTGACTCTGCTTTGGAAGATTTTCCATAGCTCAAGCAGTCTTCATGAAGCATTTCAGGGATATCTTAATAATCCCAAAATGTGAAAGGGATGCTGGGAGTGGGAGGTGTGACATGCCACATAAGAGAAGTAGCATGGGACTAAAGAGTTTCTATTTGGGATATAGCCCTTTCTCTTGTATTACCTTGCTGGGGGGTGGGCAAAGTACTTCAATGACTTTTCTTATCTGTACTTGGGAAATAAGACATACCTACCTCCCTAGCTCCCTAGCTCCCTAGCTCCTTACCTTCCTAACTTCCTGGGCTATTAGATTAGAGCTCTTGCCCTTGAATCCTTGGCAGAGTACCTCTCCCATGTAGGCACCTGGAGAGTATTATTTATGCTTAGTCTTCTGGATCAAGACAAATGTGAAGACAGTGAGGATAGGAAAAAGACAGAAAGATGCTTTCTCTTTGAAAGGAGAAAATCTTTGAAGAAGGAAGTAACGTTATTCGTATTGTTCCAGAGAGTAAAACAAGCATTAGTGGATTTAAGTTACAGGGGGAGAAACTTTTGGCCTAGATCTGCACTGTTCACACAAGCTTCCTTAGAATGTAGTAGAAGGATTGTTGAGAGGCTGGGGGACAGTAAGTTGGGGGTGGTAGAGAAGGAATGTTTTTTTCTTGTAAAAGGTGTCTTTCATTCAGTAATCTGATCTAATTGCAGAGTTATGGTCAGTCTTTTGTTTCTTGTCCCTGCAGTGTCCCTAGAAGCAAATTTTAATTGTCTGGCTTAGCCTGTGACAGACCAATGGACAAATCAGCCCACAGAATAGTAGCATTTATCAAGCACTTAGACCCAGAAGCACTCTTCTGAATGCCTTCAGTATTAAGTATACTCGTGTGTTCCTCAAAGTAATCCTTTGAGGTGGGGTCTATTACTATACTGTTTTACCAACAAAGAAACAAGCATAAAGAATGAAAGTCAGGATATAGAAGAACTACATAACATAATTGACAAGTCATATCAAGTTGATGCACTGAAATCTCTATCCTGAAAAGAATGAGTGCACCTTCTTTTCAACTATCCACGGAGCAGTCTTTTTATTTTATTTTATTTTACTTGCTTTCCTCACAATAAGTGTACTACGTAATCCCCATCAACCATTTCCCCCATCCCCCCACCCACCTCCCCTGGTAGCCATCCATTTGTTCTCTATAGTAAAGAGTCTATTTCTTGGTTTGCCTCCTTTCTTCCCCCTATATTTATTTGTCTTGTTTCTTAAATTCCACATATGAGTGAAATCATAGGGTATTTGTCCTTCTCTGACTGACTTATTTTGCTTAGCATGATACTCTCTAGCTCTATCCACGTCATTGCAAATGGCAAGATTTCATTCTTTTTTATGGCTGAGTAATATTCTATTGTATATATTCCATATTCCAATATTCCATTGTATACACACACACACACATATAGAACACATATTCTTTATCCATTCATCTTTTGATAGACACTTGAACTGCTTTGGGTATTACAAATAATGCTGTTATAAATGTAGGAGTGCATGTAGCCCTTTAAATTACTGTTTTTATATCCTTTGGGTAAATACCCAGTAGTTTGATTACTGGATCATAGGGTAGTTCTATTTTTAACTTTTTTGAGGAAACTCCCTACTGTTTTCCACAGTGGCTGCACCAGTTTGCATTCCTCCCAACAGTGCACGAGGATTCCTTTTTTTCCACATCCTTGTCAACACTTGGTGTTTCTGTGCTTTTGATTTTAGCCATTCTGACCAGTGTGAGGTGATATCTCATTGTGGTTTTGATTTGTATTTCCCTGATGATGAGTGATGTTGAGCATCTTTTCATATGTCCGTTGGCCATCTGGATGTCTTCTTTGGAAAAATGTCTATTCATGTCTTCTGCCCATTTTTTAATTAGACTATTTGTTTTTTGGGTGTTGAGTTTTATAAATTCTTTATGTATTCTGGATACTAACCCTTTATCAGACATGTCATTTGCAAAGATCTCCCATTCAGTATAGATTGTCTTTTACTTTTGTTGATTGTTTCCCTCACTATGCAGAAGCTTTTCATTTTGATGTAATCCCAATAGTTTGCTTTTGTTTCCCTTGCCTCAGGAGCATATCTAGAAAGATGTTGCTACAGTCTGTGTCAGTGAAATTACCGCCTATGCTTTCTTCAGAGATTTTTATGGTTTCAAGTCTCACATTTAGGTCTTTAATCCATTTTGAGTTTATTCTTGTGGGTGGTGTAAGGAACTGGTCCAGTTTCACTCTTTTGCACATAGCTGTCCAGTTTTCCCAGCACCTTTGTTGAAGATTTACTGACCAGGTAATTGTGGGTTTATTACTGGGTTTTCTATTCTATTTCATTGATACATGTGTCTGGGAAGGAATATTTGACAAGAGGTTGAACTAAATTATTTCCGCATTGGCTATAATCCTTATTCCTAGGAGAAGCGTGTTGGAATAAAACTTAAGGAGCAAAGTCTTCCTGGAAATCATTGGCCCCCACCCCAGGAGCCATGGTACAGCAGCAGCACTAACCCTGACTTCTCTTTTTGCAGGAGGGGGATCGCCTCAGTGATGAAGACTTATTCAAGTTTTTGGCTGACTACAAAAGATCTTCATCCTTACAGAGAAGAGTCAAGTCGATTCCAGGTGTGGATGGCTCATCTTTTCCTCTCTAGTTGTGCCAAAGCCGTTTATGAGTAGACACATTATTTATCTAATGCTACAGTTTATAAAATAATGTTTGCTAAGTGAAATGTGGGATTTTGCCTCAGGAGGTAAGAGTCTGAATTGGTCTACTTCTTTGAAAACTCTGTTAATATTTCTGTTTCTATTAAAGGAGCATCATGCTTTCGATCTGGCTCCTCAGATAATCAGATAATTATTTGAACAGAGCAGCCTCTTTCATCAAATAAACTATTATATGGAACTCTTAGTATAAAAAGAAAAGTGAAAGTGAGATGCTTTGGTAGAAGATGAGATCATCTTCCTTATTATCAGCTTAAAAGGTCCTGAGGCACTTCTGCAGCACCCTGGGGTACCAGGGAACCCAGTTTGAAAACCACCAGTAGTTACTAAACTATGTGCTATTATGGTGTGGTATTTTTGGAAGGAAGTTTAAAGATCCATTTGTATTCATTGTACAATTCCTTGCTCTTTGATTTCTAGAAACTAAATCTCAGAAGATAGCAAAACATGATTTTTTTTTTCCAACTAGAGGAAACTAGCTAGGAATTCCAAAAATCTTGCACTCCCACAACTCATCCTTTCTTTCATAAAAGAAATATGGTACAACAGTCTTTCTTGATTCCCATGTCACATGACAGCATCTTTACTGAAATAGTCCTGTTTTCCCTCTTTAGGCTTGCTGAGAATAGAAATTTCTCTAGGTCCAGAGATCATCAGTTGCTCTCTGACTCCAGAAATGCTGCCAGTGAAACCTTTTCCTGAAAACCGGACACGTCCACACAAAGAGATTTTGGAATTTCCAATCCGGGAAGTCTATGTCCCTCATACTGTGTATAGGTAAGAAACTAAGGCTCGTGGGAAACCATGGAACCCACATTTAGAGTTTTGTTTGGAGAATGCTCTCATTATCCTTCAATGATCTTCTTACTTCCTAAGTTTTGGGGAAAATGAAATATGATGTCTGCATAACTATGGAAAATTGCTAGATCAATTTCTGAAAATGGTTTATCTAATTTTATTTAACCAGAATGTTTTACTTGAGTCATAGTTGGAATTTGGGATTGGATTGGACATATTCCTTCCAGAAATGAAATGATATTCCTAGTCGTAAGCTTGGTTTTCCTATGTGCAGAAGGATGTATTAGGGAAAGAGCAACATGACCAAAAATGTTCTCGTTGTCTAAAAGAAAGATTTTTAGCTCAAGACCAGCTCTGTCCAATAACGTTTATAGCAATGGTGGAAATCTTCATTATGTATGTTTCCCGATACAATAGCCACTCACCACACGTGGCTGTTCGGCATTTGAATTGTGGCTAGAGTAATGGAGGAATGGAAATTTTGATTTCATTTAACCTTTCTTGATTTTACTTTAAATTCAAGTAGCTACAAGTGGCTGGTGGCTACCATATTGGGCGGTGTGGAGCTAGACAGCAAAGGCCTAAGAGGTTAGGCTGCCTTGGTTTCTTGGAGGCCCTTCGCGGGGAGCTGGGAGGGAGCTGGTCCACATGTATCTGCCAAAGGCATTGCCTTATATTTTTTAGTTTTGATTTTTTTTTTTGTTAAAGATTTTTATTTATTTATTTATTTAACAGAGATAGAGAGCACAAGTAGGCAGAGCGGCAGACAGAGGGAGAAGGAGAAGCAGGCTCTCCACCGAGCAGGGAGCCCGATGCGGGGCTCGATCCCAGGACCCTGGGATCATGACCCGA